CAATTTCATATATGAGATGGGAATTTCATATATCTGTTTGACTATGAGTATTTACCAAAACTAAGGCCTGTGCAGGTATATTCCACAAGAACTTTGGACAGCCACCATTTTGTAACGGATAAACCTTTTGAGACGCGGTTTCCAGCAATGAACTCCACTTGACTAACCCTTTAAAATGATGTGCATATCAACCTAAGCTTACATTAAAGATTATGTACCTACTTCTCATGTCGTCCTCTGGTAGAGGTAAAAAAATGAAAATACTTGGAAAAAGTAGGTTTCATACATGTAAGTTGATGTGAAAGATTTAAATTTTCTAACGGATTTATTTAAAAAGATATTAAGCCGTTTCCAGACTTTTTTGTCACCCTAAACCTTCGCAAATACAGTATCTGACAGTTTCAAGCCAAAACAAATGCTTCGCAATTAAATTTCACCCGGATCGTGTTGGTCCATATGTTAAATCCAATGATTAAACTAAAAATGCTTTATAGATCTATGAGGCATAGCCCTAAGGTAGGCCTATAATTGAAAGTTACTTTCCACAATGGTTAAAAGTATTTAAGGTACTACCTCAACCTCACAATTTAACACTTTATTCGGGTTGACATTTTCATTATCAAGGTGCTCTTGCCCTTTCCGTGAAACACTGAGAAATAAGGACATTAATACGTTACCAACAGACGTACACACAAAAATACAGAGCTTAGGTGATTGGGGAAATTGCTATGCTTTAAGCATAAAAAAGTGCATATAAAATTAGTATTTGAAATCTTTGTTAATGTCATGAAACTTTATCATAACAATTTATATTTGCTTGGACCGAAGATGGCCCGAAATGCTGTCGAAATGTATATATATATATAGTCAATGGTAGGAACAGAAAGTGACACATTGGAAAAGCGAGTTTAGCATCATCCGTAAACCTCTGTTACAATCACCCACTGCAGTTGTGATTTTTTACTTTACACTTTACACAACCGCCATCGAAGCGCTGTCAATGAGTGGAAACCTTGTTTCTAAGCTATTGGCGACGATCATTAATAAATTTAAGTTTCCCAGCCGTATACATCACTGATTCAAGGTCTTCTTTCTGGTTATCAAAACTCAAGAACAATTATATACACAAAGAATATCTGGTTCCTGCCCTGGATGATGCCTAGTTATTTAATTTCATTTACGGTTACACTATATTATTGCACTTTTGCGATTAATTAAATCCGTTATGTAAGAAAAACGTTTTTAATCTCACTTGGTTGGGATTTGCTTTTAAAACGTGATCGAAAATGGTTGCGGTATTTGTGAACAACATTTGTAAACATATCAGTGACAGCTAGAAAAAACAATCTTGATCCGAACAGCTGTTCGTTATTTCACAGATAATTATGTGATAAAAATTGGACAAAACGTGACAAAAATTGCACAAAACTGCATTTTTGAACGTTTGTATTTTATTTACAAAGTATAGTAAAGCCATATTTTAATGGCTGAAGACACTCTCGCCAATCCAGTGAATTCATTAAAATTACTTGGATCTAGATAGGTACTCTTGTTTTCCTGGAGAATATAGCGTAAAATGCCATTTTAAGTGTTACAGACAGACAGAAAGACAGACAGAAATAGAGATAAGACTAGTTTCTGCTTCTTTAATGTATAAAACGTAAAAATAACCTAAAAATATATAATTCTGAGCAATGTACAGACAAAACTCTAATTTTATTTATATAGATTAATATCAACAGTGGTTCTAAGATTTTAAGACTTATTTTTTTAACTAGCCTTGCAGAGGCTAGGACACAGAAGTAGGATAGAACAACAATATGAACATTAAGTCCATTGCCAGAGAAGTGTGAGATGGTTGAGGTCAGACAGTCCCGGTCACTTCTATCAGCTGATTGAGACACAGGAAATCTTGACAATGACCACAATTTGACACTCCCACATCTACCACACTGGCCTCAACTGATCACAACCACTTATGTAGATCACAGTGGAGTTTGTAACACATGTTAAACAAAAGTTTATAAATCCAAATAAAATTATTTAACAGTTTATTGCAGATATTTTCCATCTTAATTAGTAGGCTAACATCAACTCACGATCATTAAAATAAACTTTAACAAAGAATACAGAGAAAATATTTTTTGTTTAATATTTTCAACAGTTTTGCAGTGTTTAACCCTCCGAGTGTTATTTGTCGATGCTTCGACACATAACACACTTTGTGTAGTGTTTTGTGTCGATGCATCGACTCACAAACACTGTTTACGGCGAAGGCTCTATGACTGACAAAATCGGATTGAACTGGATCGAGTTAGGTATTGTTTTATTTGTCAGATTCAGAGCTTTCTCCGGAGGTCTGTCTCTAAGCGCTTTTCATTTTAGTTCCGAAAATATTGTACTGTAGCAGACAGCTGACGTGCGTATTTGTAAACAGCTTGGTTAACCTCGCACCGATGACTGATGTGTTTTATTACGTTTATCATTGTTTTAGTGTTAAAAATCAAAAGTAGTGATATACGTGGTGCATTATAAGAAGATTTAAGTGATTTTGAAGGGCTGGTTGATGATCCTGAAGAAGTAGGTAGTGATATTGATGTTAATTATCAGCCAGATTCCTAGCTATGGTTAGGCTATGCATTCTTAGCTAAACGCTATGTACTGAAATCTGTTTTTTGCCCATAACTTATTTATTTGCAAATCTACTTCCTTATATTATTATATATTTGTAATCCTCATAAAATTTAGAACAAAGTGGCTATTTCCAAATATTTATAGGCCTATAATTTATACAATTTCATTGAGCGCGAACTTAATTTTTTTTTTTTTGAAAATTTTCCAAAATATTTTTTTTTACCTAAAAAATTTTTTTGAAACAAATGTTCCTTATGTTTTATGTATAATATTGAAGCCCATGATTTTCCAAACAAAATGGTATATAGAACAGTATAATTAACATTGTTTTCAAGCTTCTCAGATCCGTTTTAATCAAACCTTGCAAATGACCAAAAAATAGGCAGACATTAAGGCCAAAACAAGGGCTACTCGGAGGGTTTAATAACGGTAGTTTTAATATCCACAAGCAATGGAAACATGCACTTGTTCTAAAACCGGGTTTACATTGGAGTTTACAAAAACTGTTTAGATCTATTGTTGAAAACAATTAATAAAATGTATGTATATCGTTTTTAATTATTTTACTTTTTATTCCGGATAGCTAACTTAGGATAATACAAGTTTCAAATAAGAGAATAAACGGTATTTACATTTGTAAACCGCTTGATTTGTATTCCAAACTAAAAATACTTCCAAAATGTATATATAAATTTTGCTCACATGTAACAAATCAATGATCCATCAATCAGCAAGCAGTGGTCTACAGAATGTAACAGCCAGTAAAATGCATATAGCAGAGATTGCTGATCTAAAAACTGCAAAACAGTGAGCCAAAATTCATTGGCCCCTCTCCAATAGACAATGGACAACAACAAACAACAACTTTCATTTCCACCTAGCAGTAATACACTCTCCCAAGTTTTACTCACGGCGGTTTTAGCGTAGGTTTTCAAACATTAGTTTTGGCTTTTCATAATTTTTACCAGAATTTTCTTTTTAAAAAGGAATTTTGTAATATAAATACATAATGTAGTATAAATTAGGTGTCTGCATTTTTATGCAAAAAACATCGGACCAATTAAGCTTGAATTCCACACAAATATAGCAAATGTATAATAAACTGCCTTAGGGACATTTTTGTTTCAATATTTTGACTTTGAGATTTTCTCCGGACTTTTTCTCTATTTGAGTTCAGAAGTTTATCAAGTATAAACAAAAACTTATTTTTGTGGTTGGCAAGAGGCAGGATTCTTTTATTTTTACCTGTGTCTTATGTACATAAAGTTGTTCAATATCGTAGCAAAAAGTACAAATTATGATCCGAGCAGAGCAACTTTTTGCTAAGATAAAACTATATATTCATTCATAAATTAATGTAATATAAAGGTCTAGCAGATAAAAGATTTCTCAAATATTCTTATTCACACACCCAGCATAATCAACAAAGGTAAAAAGATGTAAAAAGTTTGGTGTATTCTTTTGTTAAAACCACTCAATAATTTCCTGCTTAGTTTAGTAGTGTAAATCTGGAGCCTTAATTGTAGAGTTCATTTTCCTACTACTGGATATTGAAAATTTTAATAATAAAATAAACAGTTACCTTGTTCAATATCCTTTGGTGCTATTAGATGACGACCGGTTTCGTGACGACAATCACATCATCAGGTCAATCCTCGTAGAACGATTCGTTATAAATACATAAAGTTTTTACCGAACACAAGACGAAAACACATTATATTTACAAGATATTTACACACAGAAACCATCGCGATGCGTGCATATCCATTTATTATCCATAAATTATGGGTGCACGCATCGCGATGGTTTCTGTGTGTAAATATCTTGTAAATATAATGTGTTTTCGTCTTGTGTTCGGTAAAAACTTTATGTATTTATAACGAATCGTTCTGTGAGGATTGACCTGATGATGTGATTGTCGTCACGAAACCGGTCGTCATCTAATAGCACCAAAGGATATTGAACAAGGTAACTGTTTATTTTATTATACTTAATTGTAGGCCTAATTAGTCTGTTCCTCAACTATTGAATATTGATTAAACATTTTTTTAAGACAGTGACACACATTATGTATATAATTATAATACAAGCTGAATATGAAGGAATGGTGTGTTTATTAATAGGTGAAATCTACGTAGTACTGATGCTGTTTAAGATCAGCTGTTTCTGTAGCAATGACAATAAAAAAATATAACTTAGATCAAGAGCACCTGGGTCCAATTTCAAACCGTTGAGAAACTACTAAGTTTTCTAATGATTGAACCATCAGTCTTGTGATTTTCAGGCAAGCAATATAACCATTCACCTATACAGCTTTCTTTTATATCAACTAAGTACAAAGATTCAACAGTTTAATTTTGTTTCAGCCCACAGTGTAGCGAAAGAGCTCAGTGGCATGGAAAGGTTTCGAGAACCACCAAAACTGGCGGACACCAGTGAGCTACAGATGGTCTTCACCCGAAGGAAAGCTCAAAGAATGCAGATCCGTCAAGCTTTTTACCTCGTTGACTCTAACTATGTCAAAACCTACCCAAACGAGTTCTACATCCGTTCACTGTCGGGTCAAATATTTCTTATCAAATATGAACGGTTCCTGCGGTAGTGATTACTGTTGTAAATATTTTATGTTTTGTTTTGTATTTGTTATTTTTTAAATTATGTATTCATGATTTTTTTACTGTATACAATTTTTAATATATTTTTGTAGTACAATTGTTGCAAAATGATTTACAAGGCTTGTCCAGAAAGTAAGTACCGTTTCATTCTACCGCCGGCACAGCACTAACAACGATGTAACGCGCATGCACACTAGTCTCCTTGGTTCATTGTTGAAACAGCTGATGCAATTACGGCACAATTAATTGTGTTGTATTTACATTAGTTAGTGTGCACTCAAAATGTTTGAAACAATTTCTGATCCCGCGGACTGCAAAATGCGTTCTGTAATACGATTTTTGAACACATGGAACGTGAAGCCTGCTGAAAGTAGTTTAAGATATCCTCTTTCTTGTAGAAATACATTTTTTTATTATCTGTGTGTTTTTTCCAAAACGGTACTTACTTTCTGGAGAAGCCTTGTACTTTCCTAATTTTTCAACTGGGTATAAAAGGTTATGAACTATTTGAAACAAAGTTTTGTGATTGATCATTGACAACCTGTAAACTACGAGGGATATCCTGAAAGTAACAGACGTTTTGCATTGGCATCGCTCGGGACGGACTATCTGCATCATCAAAGCGTTCCTACACTCAGTACACACCTAACCATAGAAGCATCAAGCATGAAGCATATGCATAATATCTTTTGTAATTTTCCTGCAATGGAGTGTTAAAAATGAGTACTGTCATTGCACTGTCCCCGCCATTTGTGGGCTTCATGACCAGATATTTCTTTGTGAAAATTTACAAACCATTTGAAAATTATCACGATATTTGGGGTTTTAATGGCAAAGTAGTAATGAATGAAGGCCGACAAAAAAATTGCTTAACACTAAACTGCAGATAATGTACGAGAAATATGATGCGCTCGTTCCTGTATCTGAATGCACACTGAGTGTGTAGAACGCTTTGATACTAAGATGGCCAAAGCGGTGCAAATCCAAAATGTCTGTTACTTTCTGGACGGCTCTTGTATGTAATGGATGCATAGCTTGGAACTGCTAGGATACAACTAGATTGACACTGAGTCACAGAATGTTCCAGACTTTCATTAGCATAGTTTTCAAACAAATGTTTCTTACTCTTTGTGCAATCCTTGAATCATGCAAACAACCCCATATATTTTCTTAAAACTTCTTGAATGCACATTTATGGAACACTTTTTCTTATTTATTCTAAAATAAATAAATAAATATTTACTAAGAGACAAAAAGTGTCCTATATGGCAGTATGCATCTGGCATGTTATTAGAAGCCACATAAGAAATTGAAAGAAAAATACAAATAAGTGCAAATCTAAAATTTGTGTAGTCATACATGTTTATCTGAAAATTTAATGAAAAAGGTAGTTACTAATTGACTGGGACGGTGGCAACATCCTGTAATCCAGCTACTAGGAGGTCATGAATTGTGGTCATTTATAGGCATGCACTGTGGATGCGATGCTCCCTGATGTGGATTAACATCTGCAGTAGTGAGTACTATGACTATCCACAGTACTATCCTGATAATTAAACCAATTTGGTAATTACAAGGAAAAAATGTGGTTCAGATTCCACTATAAACTGTAGGCCCCTTAGTTGTCATTGGCTGTATGGGCTATTAACTGATAACTGTGGCTGAGGAACATGTCTGCCTTAGTCACTAACAAGACTACAAGATCGCGCCACTCATCCTTCACTCATATTTGGGTTGAAATACGCACATAGTGGCGACCCTATCTTGAAAAATTTAAAATTGATAGTTGACATATTGTATTATGACATGTTCACTTTGATTTTTTGTTTTTTCCAAATATTTAGAATTGTTTAAAACTTATTTAGATAACAAATAGGCCTACTCAGTTTTATCACAACATTCACAACATAACCAAAAAACTAAAAATCTTACCTTGATCTAAATCTACTTAACTACTCAACTCACTATGATTCAGGCAACTTAAACAATCATACCTGGCAACTGACTGAGGTAAGTCCCGATAACATCAGCGTGTTCTGTGAGCCAGGAGGGTTTGTCGTCTGCGCTGAGAGCATCCACCACACCTCTCACCATCTGAGACGAGTGTTTGAGGAACATTGAGGCTGAAGAGGAGTCACTCGAAGCCAATGACGCAAACAACACCTGCGGATTCTTCTTGTTGTTCTTCAGAAGCTTCTTCAATAAAACTCCTTCCAAGTCAAACTTCAACCTCAGGCAGCACAGTTTGTTCAACTGCTCTTGTTTGCTCGTCAAATGATCTGGATGTTGAAAAAGTTTATAAAAATTCAAGAATATATTGATAAAGTTATCAGATTCTGTGAATGAAATTTGAAACATAATAGAGTACTATCCCTTCTGAGATTGTAATCCACAAACCAAGCAAGTAGAAGTATATGTGTCTTAGATTACAAAATTGTTTTTCACTTAACATGAACTCAAGTTATACAGAATCACCACATACTAACTTAGCAACCAATTTTAATGTATCTATACAATTTGCATTTTGTACGTACAAGACAAATTTAAGGACATTGAAATAAATGCAAAATATGACACAAGAAGAAATAATATTTTTAAGACTACAATTTAATTGTATATGATAAAATTTCCAGGAGGCCAGGAAAGATTGAGAAATCACAGTTTTTGAAACAGGATGTAAATTTCTGAATTGACATTAATTAATGTTATTAGGCTAGATTAATTTTAGTGCTTAGCTTACCGGATACTCCAATAATTCTTTTAACAATTCTTTTCAATTTTAAACCTCACAAATTATTTTTTTCCATAATATTATATATCTTTAATTAAACTTCAGAGTAATTTGCTTTGAACTATCATACAGGAGGATTTTCTAATAGAGGCAAAATAATCTGTATCAAAGTTGTTTACCCATATCTAAATAGTCCATGAGGTGTGTAAAGACAGTTAGGTATGAGGCAAGAGCTTCCTGTAGACTATCACACCTGGACATTACGGTGATCACTTCTGAAGGCAGAGCACAACGTAGAGTGACAGCTGCTTCTAACAGACTTTCTGTGAAATCTAGCCATTGGTCAAGCCTGAAACAACATAACACGGTATTCCTTCTGATCTCATTTTAAAGATACTAATTTAACAATATGGATGTAACACAGCACAGGGACCTACGTTTGGAGGTATTTTGTTTGGATAGTTTACTTGAATGGGAAAGAGTACATTCTGGCACAAGAGACACAAATATACAATACACAAATCAGAATATTACACAGTAACTGACAGCAAAGACTGTTAATATTCTGAAGACAAGTCTCTTCCCAGCTCAAACTTGGTTAAAAATGTTTTCAGTGACAGTGAAATGTTCTAACTTTTGTATTTCCTGTGCCAGGAAATACAAATACTCCCCATTGCAGATAAGCTTAATATCCTAACAAAATAATAAAAGAATATGTAAAAGTTTAAAAAACAATCAGGAATTTTAAAGATGGTTCTCCGTAGGCAAGCCTGTATAAGCTACTTACAAAAAGAGTAGCTCAAGTACAACAGGGTCACCGTTCTATTTCACTTTTCTTTAGTCTATATGGGAACCGATTCCACAAGTTCTACTTACTTAATTACTACTGGTTTGTTGAAAGTATATCCTTTATTAATGCTACCAGTACACAATTGCAAAGTAATTTGGGCGAGAGTTCGACAAAGATCGCAAGCGTGGTAACCATGTACACTCTCGCTTTGTCTTGCATTTGAAATGGAAGCGCTTTATGCGCTTGGCACTAGGGCAGACTTCAGACGGAGCACAGGTGACCCCAAGACTAGGCGAGCTCTCTCACTCGTACCAGCTTGCCTTGCCTCGGCAAGAGTGTACTAGGACCATAAGACAAGTCACTTTTGACCATACGGTATAGGTAATGAAATGACAATGATAAACAAAACTTACTCAGTGTTTGATTCTACGATTGCAGTTAAGATAGCAACAACCTCATCTCCTGATATCAATCTTAAGAATGTTTTTGCAATGTGAGGACTTTTGTCTTTCTTGTTTTTCCTTAATAGCTTCAATGTGCTGTCTAAAAACCTGCAACAAAATGACAGTCATGTTACGGCACCTAAGCCTGATTTAAACATAATGATAATGAAATAAATTGTTACAGAAACAGATAGTAATCAATTAAGCTTAGTTAGTTTACACTGTATCTTGTTTATTTAAATTAATCAGTCAGATAAATTTATTGACATCCCAGTAATCAATCATGAATCATGTTTTTTTTCCTTTCAGGTAAAGTATGTATATTGCTATATTAGACACTGAAAAGTTAAAATTCAAATAAATTTATTCATTCAATGACAGGAGCATTGCCTCACTAAGTTTACAATACTAGTCAGTGTGATCCAACACTCACAAACACGTAAATAAAATTTTGAGATGTTTTTTATACTAGGAAAAAAGTGCAAACATCTACGTATTTTAGTCAGACATTAGTATATCTACTGATTTTGAAGGGGTTTGTACCAATAGTAATAACTATCACAGGGTGTTTTGTTCTAAATGTTGAACAAACAAAATTACACCACGAGATTAATTTAAATTCACGTAGTTACATTAAAATAAATCCTTACCTCTGCCTGTAGGGTTTCAGCATGGTGTGGTCTGAGGAGCCAACATGGTCCACCAGACTAAGCACTAGAGGAGTGAGATTGGCAGAGGTGTGATGAGGCCTGAATCCCTGCAACACTAGCGGGTGCAGAAACACCTCCTCCAGAGCAGAAGCTCTCAAAGTGCTGTCATTTACCAATTGGCACATCAGAGCATTCAGTACCCTGGACATACATGTTTTGAAATTTAACTAAGCTGGAAGATTAGATTGGACTTTATTGTTAAAGAACCCAGATGAAAATAAAAACTAACACTCTTATGGGTTCTGTTAGTTAATCTACCATCACAAACAATTGATCCAGATCACAATTGTTATTTGTGTAACTAGTGTGCAAAGTGGCACTTGAGACAAATGTTTTGAGGAAAGATTCTCGAGTGCAGCAAAAACACTTTGCGCTCGTGTTACACATTATATTTTTCAATTTTTCCTACAGTTACTATAAAGC